GAGACTCGTTCTGGAATCTAAATTTAAAATGAGTCTCCAACACAATATCTATAACCTCTAACAGGGTATCTATATGGAAGACCCATTTTATGTGTCAGGAGAGCCATAATCTAAATCTGAGTATCCTCTCTCATATATATCTATTTGCAGAAATGATTATCTTTTGGGTCTTGTTGTTGGAGAAGATAAAAAATAAATATTGAACCATTTGTCTGTAACGCTATCCAAAGGACGAATGTGTCTTGTATTTTGGATCGCGGTTGTTGGAGACGGTCTTTACACGCGCAAAATTTGAGATACTGGTCGGCAATGTTGGGCTGTTCGCGACATTCACGTGCATCTCGTGTAAGGCTGGATAACGAGCCGGCTCGGCTCGTTTGGGCTCGGCTTGTTCTGGCTCGTTAAGATAATGAGCTAGCTCGGCTCGACTTGTTATCCTATCGAGCCAGAAAGCCAGCTCGACTCAGCTCATTAAAAGCTCGAGCTGACTCGTTAAGCTCGCGAGCCAAGTATAAAAAATACACAAAATATAATATTTGCATTTATCTAAAGTTTGAGAATAATAATAATACAAAAGAAATGCATCTAGACCAGTTACCAGTCAATTTATAGGGTCTAGACCAGTTAACAGTCAATTGTAAAGTGCAAGACATGAAGTAATACAAAAACTAATAAAGTTTTGATACTTTTTTTCCTGGAAGCTTGGCTCGTTTAGCTCGCGAGCGGCTCGCGAGCTGGCTCGAGTTGGCTCGTTATAGCTAACGAGCTAAAATCTTGGCTCGGCTCGGCTCGTTATCATAACGAGCCGAGCCGAGCCGAGTCGAGCCAGCCACGAGCCGAGCGAGCTAACGAGTTTCGAGTTTTTCGTCCAGCCTTAATCTTGTGGAAATGGACGTAGGCCCCGTTCGTTTCGCTGAAAAAAATAAGCCAAACACTATTCTAGCTAATTTGTTATGAGAGAAAAATACTATTTAAGTTGAAAAAATAAGCTGAAAAATACGGTTTATAAGACAAACGAACAGGGCCGTAAACAAATAATCTATTAGTTTGGCCGGATAATTATAATTATTAACAAACAAATCTGACGACATTAGATAGATATGAGAAAAGGTGCAGTACACTACAACCACAGGTAGAAAATGGCAGCGGGTCAGTGGCAAGTGGGTTTCTACTTTTAGGCCTGCTTAGCATAGTTTCATCGTCATGTGGAGCTATTTTGCTAAATACTTATTCCAAAATAACTCAGCTTAAAAAAAAAAGTTGCTCATAAAGCTATTTTATAAAAAAAAGAGAGTCAAATGCACTGAAGGTCCACTAACTTTCGTTGCGGTGTCATCTAGGTATATCAACTTTGAAACTGTATTTTTGAGTTGATAAACTTTTAAAATAGTTCACTATAGGTCCATACCCATTTATTTAATCTTAAAACTCTCTATCTTTCTTTATCTTCTACGCGCTCAACCTTCCTGCTCAACGGTGAACGCCACTCAGTCCGGCCGAGCCGTCGGCGACGACCGCGCCTTCTTGCTGCTGCTCGCTTCGGCGCGAAGCGTCGCGGTCCTCCCCCAATGACTGCTTGAAATGCCTTTGCCACTGCCGCCTTAGGGCGTCGCCCGACGGATGCCACGGACGCCGCTGGGCGGTCTGGCGCGCGCGCGCTTCCTGTCGTCGTCGTGGACACCAACGCGTCCACGGCCCGCGAGGACGTGTGGCGCGGCTGGTTCTACGACGACGACGAGCGACGACGACACGCTGACCGCGGCGCTGGGGACGTCGTGTGGCTATCCGGGGACGTGCGTGGACCGCGGCGGAGTGCTCCCGGTGCCTGAACGAGTCGGCGCAAGTGGTTCCAGCGCTGAAGGAAGGGAGGCAACTGTCGTTGGTCCACGGCGACGTGGTGGTGGTCGTCGGCTACTCCTGCTACCTGCGCGTCCCGTTATCCCCTCCAAAGATACGGTGGCCGGTGTGGGTGAACTACGGTGAGCTCACCAGTTCTCTCTTCCCCTCTCTTTCCATATCTTTCCTGTCCTTAGAAACTGACATTAGTGTGATGATGATGGAACTTCTTCTCTCTGCACTCTGCAGCCTTGGGTGTCTTGGACGTGGTTGGGGTACTGCTCTTTGAAATAGGCGGGATACTGTGTTGCATCCGCATAGCCCGCCAGTTTAATCCAGCTGCTGCATGAGGTGGCCGCCGTGAATCATACAGGTTGCCAGCAATGGAATAGAATCAACACATGGGTCGGCATGTTCGCTTGGTTGTAAACGATCGTAAATTTTCAGTCAGAACAGTATTTTTCTGTCACACCAAACCAGTCAGTAGTAATAATTCACGATCGTATACGATCATTTCAGGCCAGCCGAACAGGCTGTTGTTAATTAGTTCATCTGGGCCGCGAGAGAATCATCGGAACGCCAGTTGTCAGGCAACATGCACAGCCCAACTACGGAAAAAAAATTAAGTGGAGACCGACCGCACCACGGACGTCCAACCAATTTGCACCACGTGGAAAAAAAAATTAGGAGCACACGGTGCTTGTCAGATTAGCAGGTCCACTGGCCGGAATAGGTCTGGAGTCCGCACGATGCTGCATGCAATTTTTTTTCCGCAAGGCCTTGTTTAGTTGGCGATTTTTTTTTAAAAAATGGTATTATAAAGCATTTTGTTGTTATTTAGTAATTAGTATCCAATCATAGTTTAATTAGGCTTAAAAGATTCCTCTCGTGAATTTCGTCTAAAACCGTGTAATTAGTTTTATTTTTATTTATATTTAATGCTTCATGCATATGTCCAAAGATTCGATGTGACAAGAAATCTTGAAAAATTTTACAAAATTTTAGGAACTAAACATGCACCAACTAAGCTCGGGCGTACCCCAGTGTTCGGCGACGTCTGGCGCCAAGTCGTGAACCTTCCGGGCGTTGGCGTCCGGTCTCGACCGGCACGGAAACTACTTGGTGGCCATCGGGCTAGGCACGCGCCGGAGGAGCGTCACGGCCGACGGTGGTGTTCGACACCGGCAATGACACGACGTATGGGCGCGCAGAGTCGTCGTCGTGTCATCGCTACTCGGCGTAACGAGCCGCTCTTCACCCCGCCAAGTCCCGGATAGCCCGCCGTCCCCCCTGGCCGTGATCGGCGATGTCGTCGTCATTGTCGTCGTCGTAGAACCACCCACGCCACGCGTCCCGCGCAGCCGTGGACGCGTTGCAGTGTCTGCGTCGACAGAAGCAAGCAAGGCGCCGCACGACGGCCCCTGCCAAGGCGTCCGTGTCATCCGTCGGCGACGTCTGGCGGCGATGGCAAGGCATTTCAAACAGATCGGAGGGAGGACCCGCGGCGCTCGCCCAGCGAACGCTAAACAGCGCTGGCGCGATGCGTCGCCGCAGACGGCTCGGACGAACGGAGCGGCGTTGACCAATGAAAGGGAAGGGTGAGCACGTAGAAGATAAAAAAGAAATGTGAGGGTTTTCGTAAATATATGTTAGATTAAAGATTAAATAAATAAGTATGGATCTGTAGTAAACTATTTTAAAAATTTATGGACAAAAAATACAGTTTTAAAATTAATTGACCTCGAACACGTCAACGAAAATTAACGGACCTCGCGTGCATTTTACTTAAAAAACAGTTTATACGGTGAACCTGAGCCGTGTCGAACAGGCCCGCTGGGTGCAGCAGTAAAACATTTTGCTTTGGGGTAGATAGGTAGTGCTGGCCCATCTGCCTCATCCCTTGGGCGCGTCGCATCAGGTTGCTTTGTTCGTGGTGCGCAGCAGGCGCGCCCGCCGCGTCCACGACGTGTTGCGCGGTCGGCTGAAAGGCGTCCGGCGTCCGGGTCGGCTCGTCCTGCCGACCGCCATGTGGTCGCTATTTTCGTGTACCGCACCGTCGGAAGAATAAAATCAAGAGAACAAGAACAGGATCTTCCCTTTTTATTATTATTTGGGTTTTGGTGAACCTTTTCTCAACCTGGGCAGTGGCTAGAGGACACCTGGCCGACGAATTGGCTGTGTTTGTCCTCCAAAATTAATTAATATATATCGGATTCTCGCTTTAGCCGGCCCTGTTTAGATCTATTATTAGCTAGAGTAGTAGTTATCTAGGCAGTAACACATAGCTAATATTAGTTGTCTAACAATTGACCAACTACCTATTAGCTGAGAGGGTGTTTGAATACACAACTAACTGATGAGATAGTTATTTTTTCATCTATTAGCTACTATTATCTGATTTGATCAAACTAGTGAGATAGTTATTATCTAATAATTAGCTAATCTATTTGTTGTACCTGTTTGGATCTAAATAAGATAATTATCAACAGATAGTTATTATCTATAGGATCCAAATAGGGCCTTAACAATACAGAATAAATCCGAATTTGCCAATATGGCTAAAAAAACTATTTTGTCTAGCTGTTTGTGCACACCCTAGACAATTACATAATTTACTTTGTTAATTTGTGCTCAACCTTTTATTAGCAATGGAAATAGAATTATTGATGAAATAACTTGTATGTTCACAAAACTTTGTAAAAAGGTTCACTGAATCTTTTAAGTAAACATATTTTTGAAGAGGTGAGTGCATAATAAATTTTTAACGCGACGTAAAAGCGTGATGACACTAGAAAGCAGCTTCCGGGTTACCGAACGCCCCTCGCTCTGTGCACAGGAAGGCCGAACCCGCCCAGAAGTCCCAGAAGCCATGGCGGACGAGCCGACGAGAAAAGGAAGGGAGCCCCACCTCTTCCAAAAATAAACCAAACCCCACGCGAAGCGAACACGGCGTCCTGGCTGGCTCTCCTCTCGTCTTCGCCGCCCTTGCCTTGCCTTCCCCTTTCAGCTCTCCTCTCCATACTTCCCGCTCCTTCCCTCCTCCCGCTTTGACCACCTCGTCCAGTCGTCCCCCATATCTCTCCTTCCCCACCCTACCACCCACCACACGCAGCATCAGCATCCGAAATAGAAGAGAGAGAGGTCGATAGGCACCGACACGACCCATGTCAATGTGGCGCGTCTCCCGCTCCCTCCTCCGCGCCGCCTCGGTCTCCACCTCGGCGGTCGGGCGCGGCGCCGGCGCCGCGCCCCGCCGGTGGGTCCCACCGCCGTGCGCGCTGCAGCAGCGCTGCGGCTACGCGTCGCTGCCGGAGGCGGCGAGGAGGGACGGGGGCGAGGAGGATGTGACGGCGGCTGAGGCGAGGCGGCTGATGCGGCTGGCCAACGTGGAGGCGCTCAAGCGGCGGCTCGGGGACGGGGAGGTGATCCCCTACGCGGACCTGCTGCGCGCGTGCCAGGACTCCGGCGCCGCCCGGACGCGCGCCGAGGCCGCCGCGCTCGCGGGCGCGCTCGACGAGGCCGGCGTCGTCCTGCTCTTCCGCGACAGGGTCTACCTCCAGCCCGACAAGGTCAGCTCGCATTGCCACCCTCTCCTACTCCCCCCACACCTTATCCCTCCCTGATCCCCTGTAGAATCGTGGCGTTCGAGGCTCGGTTTCTCCGGGCGTCGGGGGCTTTCGGATTTTAAGCTGCGTTCTATCCGGTTACCTCGCCGCCGGCTACTCCGTTCGTTAGTGCGTCGATTGTTCTCTCGTCCGGTGAGGTATGACCGGTACAAGCTGGCGGTGCCGGAAATCTTAGGGAACGCATTTTCGATGTAATCAATGAAGGAATGGGACATGGTAGTTTTATTTGAGGCATTAGAAAATTTTGTCCGGCAAAAAAAAAAAAATAGCGTCGCTAAGCACCGTCCACACATACACGGCTCAGCCGCTGGGCGGCTCAAGTACAGATCCGTGCAACCATTAGGTTCCAGCTTGTAATTCGTGACCCGCGGGCCGCGGCCTGCGGGGTTTGCCGGGCTTCCCGCAAGTGCAAACGATGGTCCAGGGTTACATCGCCTACGGATTGTACCTTTGGTTCATAGATCCAGTCGTTAGAATTGCATTTGCCATTCGACGGCAAGCTAATGATTTGGTGAGAACCAAGATTCATCGTGCACTTCGTGCGACCTTCTCAACTTACTGATCGGGACTGGCCTTTGAAATCATCGTGAGCCCGTCGTCGCCTTACTGTTTGGACCAGTAGCAATCCACTTGCCAGTGGCGCTTTCTGGAGGGAAAGGTGATCGGTATGCATGTAGACGCCGCGGTCCCTAGGTCGCGACTGGTGGTTCACAGCGTGCTCCTCTCGGCTGCCCACCCGGTCATGCGGGCAGCACCAGTGGAAAAGTCATCCGGTTTTCTTCCATGGGATTGGTGCCTCTTCTTTTTTCTAGTTTGCTCTGTCCTCTCGTACACGATGGGTTATCGGCTCATTGCACTGGAGAGGCTATTGTCTCTTTGCACTGCCTCTATCAGTCTATCCTGTTTCCATTATCTCGTGTGGCTTGTGGCACAGGATGCATTGTCCATTATCTAGACTGCTTGTTTTGTGTATTGCACGGATGGGGCGAGCTACCAGTCTACCGGGCAAAGTCTGTCCTTCGATAGTGCGGTAGCAAAAGTTGGTTGCTTTTCACAATGCTTGTCCTATGTTTTTTTTTGTTTAAATAGTATCATAATAGTTTTGCGTTACTCTCACTTTATTCAGTAACGTGAATGTGCAATTTGGAGCCTTGTTGCAAGCTGTACTATGGGACATATCAGCAAATTTTGTAACTACCATTCCGCATTCAAGTTGATGGTGCTGGATGTAAATTAACTATTTATTGAACATTTGGAACAAAAGCATGAAGCTTCACAGAGGATCCTCTACTATACTCTTAAATCATGTATTCATGTTTACTTTCCATTGCATTCCACCATTTTGTGTTTGAAATGTATTTACACTCTTGCATATTCGTTGCACATTGTTTTTCATATGTACAGATTCTTCCATTTTAGGATAGGTCACTTTGTAAGTTGATTTTTCAGGATATTGTCAATCCATGTCTTTTTGACATGTGAACACTTCAGTGATACATGCGGAAGCAAACTGAAATACAGATTAGGACTGTGGTGTATCCACATACGCTGAAATTTCCCCTTTTAAATTTCTCATCAATTGGTTCTTATCAATGTAGGTTCAGATTTGGTGTCTTGTGGGGTCTTCACATACATTAGCTTATACTTACCTTCGGTTGATGCTAATACCTCTTGTTTTATACAGATCGTGGATCTTGTAAGGAAAGCTATGCCCCTTGCACTGACACCTGAGAATGATCCGGGGAAGGAAGAGCTCAAGCAGCTCCAGGCGCAGTTGGAAGACATCAACAAGCTTGCACACAAGCAGGTCCGGCGCATCCTCTGGTCTGGTCTGGGTTTCTTGATCACCCAGGTGGGCCTCTTCTTCAGGCTCACGTTCTGGGAGTTCTCGTGGGACGTCATGGAGCCCATCACGTTCTTCACGACCACGACAGGCCTGGTTGTGGGATACGCATACTTCCTCATCACATCAAGGGACCCAACCTACCGAGACTTCATGGAGAGGATATTTGAGTCTCGGCAGAGGAAGCTGATCCAGAGGCAGAACTTCAACCTGGACAAGTACCTTGAGCTCCAGAGGCGCTGCAAGGATCCCCTGGAGAAAGCGTGTGGCACGACCAACCCTGACATGGCTCATCTCCATGAGCTATCCATTCACAAATGACAAACAATTCACCATTGCTTCGTTACTCATCTCATTCTCTGGGAGAAATGATCCCTACTAGCAAAAGGACGCGGTGTTTCTTGCACTTGTGAGATACCTTTTCCACGGTCTTCTCCTATGCAAATGTGTAGGTCAGTATAATCCTTTTTGTAGCGATGCTGAAGCACAGGCACCTGATAGTTGAAAAGGCAAGCTCATCTTCATGGCTGGAAGCTTACTCACTACCCAGAACTGCATAATTCTGCAGTCTCTACTAATATACTGTTTCATTGTGACTTATTAGCTTTATATATATCCTATATGAAAACTCATTTGTTGGTAACTAATATGATCCTAATTAGAGACTTATATTTGATCACGTGCCTTTAGAAATGTACTTGGAAACGAATCTGAGGATTGATAGCTAAGTTTCAGAAGCACTACAGGCCAGTGCGTGGTAAAGGCCATTCTCATCATGACTGTAGCCGTAGTGCGTTGTGCGTACAGATGCGGTCCTACGTTTACAGATACAGAATTACAAATTGCGGTCTACACTGAAGCAGGAAACTCGTCAACACATGAATTGTGAATTTTGTGGAATTGCATCTGACGAACTCCAAAGATGGGTAATTTGCTGTGAAGTGTAAACGTACCGTGATCTTGGGCGTCATTCACTAGTCCTCGAAAGAAAAAGTATGCACGCGCACTCGCAGTTCCATTCGTTGTTCTACTGTTCATGCTCTAACCTTTAAAAAATCTCTCTTAAAGCCTCCTTGGCTGTTTGAAACTTAGAAATTTTGCAGGCATGTATATTAAATTTACATGAATTAGTTTAATTTCAGAAAAAAATATAGAATTTTAGAAAAAAAAATTATGGTGTTCCAAACGGAGATGGAAGACTTGCATAATCCACTGTCTGGCATTCCAGTCTTGCATAATCTACACCGCAACCTGTCTTATTAGATCATGTGGTATACTGGCATTACGTATATGGTAGGTACATGCATGGTAGAAGTTTTTTTTTAAACAAAAGGCAAGAGCTCTGCCGCTTAATTAAAACGAAAGAAAGTAATAATGTACAAGAAGGTTAGCCAACCGAGTAGCCAAAATGGCACCCGAGGGGCTAACCACCCCATGCGACGCGATTGAGCACAAACACGATACACTGCCATGGATCATCGTTGCCGAGCATGGAAGCAAAGCTGCTAGCAGCTTGGACTTCCCATGGCAGGTCACCCACTGGTCACCTCCCGACGGGTCCAAAGGAACGACCGCCACCGGTCATTGTTGCCAAGCTTAACCATCGAAGAGCAGCTCCGACTTCCAGTCGCGAACCCATGCCTCGCATCGACGCCGCGGCGATAATCCAGATGCGACGCCTTCAGGAAGGGAGCGACGCCGATGGCGCCACCGTCGCACATCCAAAGTGGACCGGGGTTTCACCCTTGGATGACATGCTAGAGGGGAAATACGACGCCCCCAACAGGGAAGCGGCGCCCAATGGCGTCGCCGTCGCCAAGGTTTTCGCCCAAGAACCCTCTAGCACGAACGCCGGGTCACGAAGCTGGACCCCCTGCCAGCCTTCACCGCCATCGTCGCTGTCCCGCCGCCCCACGGAAGCCCCTTCAGAGGGGCATCAACGCGCCGGCTGCACGCAGCAGCCGCACAGCTGCGTCGGCCGTCACCCCCTCCGTCCGCCCCGCGATAGCGGACTGGCTCCATTGCTTTCGCGTCCCGAAGGCTTTGCACAGCACGAGGCCATCATCGACCATCTTCGTCGGCCCGAGCACCGGCCGATGTCGCAGCCGACCTCGCCGCCAGCCGCCATAGGGCGTGTGCCCCACCATCTCGGGCGCCGCCCCCTGCCCTGGGACCGCCGGATCCGGACAACAGGCCCTGAACCCGGCGCCCCATGCCGCCGCCGCCGCCTCCGTCTTGACCACAACCGCAGGCACCGCCCGCCGCCGGCCTCGAAGCCGAACTGGTCACCTGGAGTCCAGATCCGGCCTCCCGGGCGCCGGATCTGACCTCACGTGGCTTGGACCGGCGGCCCCAGCCAGATCGCCGCCGACGCCAGTCAAGAGAGGAGGAGGAACGCGGAGGAGAAGGAGAGCCGCCGTCGTCCCTGCGCGGCTCGGGCACCACCGACGCCGCCGCCATAGTCGCGACGGCCCTCCCCCACCGAGTTCCACGCACTCACGCGAGGGAGGGCCGTTATTTCTTCTGCCACGTGCGCCGCCAAAGGAGAAAGGCCCCGCCGCCGCCATCCCTCGCCAAGGCGGCGCCATCTTGGGCCATGCATGGGGAGGGAGGGAGAGAGGTGCTAGGGTTTGGGGGAGGAGCAGCCGAGCCGCTCACATGGGAGCGACGCTGGGAAAGTGTGGTCTCGCATGGTAGAAGTTCCACTCCCAAGCATTCGGTTGTTGTTGGTCAAGGCAGGGACTTTTAAGTTACCCGTGTCGGCCGCGGTATCTGCCACAAAGACCAAAGACGTCGGCCTACGGTGCCTCTAGTCAAAGATACTAATGCCGCCGCAAGCGGCCATCGAATTTTCGGAATCCAAATCGGTGTTCCGTTTCAACTTGACAGTGACATCTGCGTGGCTTTGTTCAGATATACGTATATTCACCTCAATTCACATGTGTTAGAGTAGAATGGAATGAAACTAAGTTTAATTCTACTTCAATACATGTGGATCGAGACGAATACATGATGACCGGAGGCTTGAGCTCGGTTAGAAGTTGGCGTCGTTTCTTTTGTCCTTTTTTTTTTAGCTGGCAAGGCAAACCCGCAGTGTAAAGTTGGGGATGACCGGGAATCTCTATATAGGAATCCCGCTTCCAAAAGCGGGCTAATGGATAGGTCCACGTCACCCGCTAACCCTCTGGCCGTTGGATCAGCCTCGCGCGCAAGACGGACCGTCCGATGCAAGTTCAATCGGGCCTGTCACTCAGCAACCCGCAAACCCGGGCGACACGAATCGTCGAGAACCCGGGCGAGGTCCTCATCCCTCCACGCTCCTCCTCTGACCCCTCCGCCGTCCTATGGCCTCCGCCTGCCGCGCCGCTCGCAAGGAGAACCAGCAGCCCGAGCTGCGCCTGGACCTCAGGCAACGAGGCTTGTCAGTCCTCTTCTCCCTGGGGCAACCCCTCTCCCAGCCCTGCTACGATGTGTCAGATTGCAGGCGGCTCGTCTGCTCAAGCTCCACCACACAAAGAAGCTGGACCTGACGCCGCCACCTGAAGCACAACTCTGGACCAGACGGTTGCATAGCTCGGCGAACTCTCCTCGCGCGTCCGCAATCGGTTAGTACATGCTCTCCTCTCGGCGTTGATGGGCGTCAATGCGTGGACACCGCGATGACCCGTCCTGCACGAGCCCGTAGCTGATGCTCAGATCTGAATCTTGTGTTCTGCCGCATAAAAGCCAAGACCTGAATCGTACAAGCAAATCAATCATGGGACTGCATCACAGTGACCACCGCTGCTGCATGCTTGCAGCCGTACATTCATGCACACAATCTGTTTGATTCAATGCTTTAGAGCCATATTTTCTAAAATATGGCAATCTATAATCTAAACTCCTCTACACCATCTCTTATGATTAATTTGATGTTCTTACATTAAGAAACCACTTTCAATTTTACATGCTTCAAGCTCTAATATGAATGAGAATCGGGCAAATCCTCAAAAGTGCACACTGAATTTGAAATAGGTTCTCTACTACTTTAATAGCAACTACATATATGTACTTTCCTGATCCAATATTCAGACCCTTTGAAAACTTAATTTCCTGTCCACACATTTCATTTCTATTTATGAAATCTAAAAATATGTAATATGAACTCCTCTACATGCAAGTGCTAACATGCAGCTGTTCTGTGACTTATTTTCTTCAGATTGACTATGTTATAGCAATATAATATGGTGCAAAGCCTGATCTAATTTCTAGATATGTTATATTACATTTTAAATTTCTATTCCTCAAAATTTACAGTAGCAGAATCTTTGCTTTTCAAAACCTGAAATATAGTACGGTGCAAACGCTAATCTAATTTCTAAAAATGTTATCTTGCACCTTATATTTCTATTCCTAAAAATTTATGGTAGCATAATCTTTGCTTTCTGAAATCTGAAATTTTATTATACACTAGCATATCTTATTTTTGTACGACTATAATGTCCTGATTCCATATTAAAACTGATACAACAAGTGAACTGGTTTACAAAGTATATTACATTAAACCTAAGAAATAGGATTAACTTCTGCCTTGGCTCCTGATAGTTTGCTTTGCGTCTCTACTGATGCCTTTCGGTGTAAATCAAATTATTACAATAGTTTATGGAGATAATGATATATGAACCCACGATCCTCACTAATCTTTTTATCTGAAGCTGCAAGAAAAAGAAAAGACAAACAGGGCCTCTATTCATAATTAAAAAGGGAAGAAAACAAGAGGCATATTTTCATCACATAATTTATACAAAATTAATTTCTTTTATATATATGATGATTGATAAATCATCTTGTTTTGGAATCTCCTCAAGTACTACTGCTTAGATTTATTTCTCAAATGTTTTTCTGCTTGAAATTCAACACCTCAGCACAATACTTAGCTCTCAACTCTCTACTCTTGATTGTCATTTCAGGTGCAAATCTCATGTTCTCAGCAGATACTGCTAACTCCCTTGAGGTGAGATAAACCATATATTATTGTTTTCTCTCAAATACAAGGATTTAAAACCAATAAAAAGTAGCACTGTCTTATCACGAAGATATATATGAACCGTAGTACTAGATTGATCCTCTGTGGCACTAACCTTTGATATCTGCATTGTAATTACCCGTTAGTTATTTTCACATATAATTCTCCAACTACTAAGTGAAATTGTAATATAAACTACCAAAATAAATGCAGTTAGAACTATACAGTTTCAAAACATAAGGGAGCTATGGCCGACAATCACTTCATTATCTCAAAAAGAAAAACAGTGATTTATTGATTAACCGTCTTTCTATTG